CTTTGCCTGAAGCCCCTGCTGGAAGATCTCAGCTCCTGTGGACTCACCACCTGCAGGAGGATCAGTGAGGGGCTGGTGCTCTGTGTACTGGGTGCAGCTCTGACTGCCACCCCCCCCGACCCAGAAATGGATTAAGAGGAAGAAAATGGATGGATGTAAAAAAACATCATAAAAAAGGAAATTCCTTTTAGTTATTTCGGCCCAGTTCCTCATATATTATTCAGCTCCTGAACAAAATGAGTTTGACACCCCTGTTCTAAATGTTTCCGGGTATGTATTCAGTTCGTCATTGTAATTCCCTTTATTGGAAGCGAGAATGTGACTTTACTTAGCGAAGTAAAAGTTATATCTGTTATAAAAAAGTAAAATGTAAAAAACCACAATTGGATATTTTACCATCATCGTACAGCCCATTTAAGTGACGAGACAAATATATTCTAAGAACATCTTTCTAGCCTCTGTTTACACTCTGACAGTTTGTTTGCAGCTACGCGTTTGTGAAAAGGGGCACATCATTAAAGGTCCAATAAAGTGACTCATCAAACAGCGTAGAAACTGTTCTTTTATGACGCAAATGTTGGAAGTAAACATTCTTTTCTCAGTCACCTCCTCATTGTCGGTGCTGGATGTTGTGAAATGACTCGTAAACAGGCTTTGTTAGCTTTGTTAGTATTAAAGAGTATAGTAGAGTATAAATGCTGGTAAAAACTCCCATGTATGAAGAATGTCAATGATTCCACCCGAATTTCACTGCAAAACCACAGGATCACAAATGTTTACTTTCAGATATCTACAGGTGGTAAACATAGCAAAACACCGAAATTACATTCTATTTGTTGGTCATTTCAATTTAGTTACATCAGATAAAAATAATATCTGAACCACTTTACATTTTCAGACAGGTCAAACTCAGGCCCACGAGCCAAATCCGGCCCACAAGACGATGTTCTGTGGTCTTGGACATTATTTCAATAACTATTATTAAGTTTAGCATTGATTCAGCTACTATGGCATGTTTTCTTGGTCCTGTTTTTCTTACATCAAAACAGTAACTAAAAGTTTTTTTGTTCAGAAACATCTACCAGAAAAGAAACAGAGGTCAAATTAATGTGTGTCGTAAAAAAAGAATGATAATAAAAAAAAAAACGCTTTTATACTTTCGACCCTTGAACAAAAAAAGCCCTGTCTTACATCAACATTCACTTATTATTGTCCCACCTACCCTAGCACCCTCTTATTATTGTATTTTCTAATTCAATTCAATTCAATTTACTCTTGTATAGCCCTAAATCACAACAGTAGTTATCGCAGAGGACTTTACAAAACCGTCAAAATCGCTGATCAGAAAATCAAACCCAAGAAAGGACCAAGAAACACATAGAGCCATTTGTCCATACGAGGCAGAAGACCAAGGTCCATACATGTAGATACAATTCTTGTGTGTGTCCACCTACAATTTACAATTTTATCATGTTTTTTTTATACATAACGCTTGGAATAATTCATAAGTTTTTGAACCCAGAACTTATCAAGTGATAAACCAACTAACGACTAAAGGCCTCCAGCTCCATAATCATAAGAATATGGCACAAGCAGTACGTCCCTCAGACCCTCAGACACTCGCACATATGAACTTTTCCTGATGGTTGCAGTTTTCCGTATTAAATCAGTTGGAGTTGCAGCGATGCGATCCCCAGAGGCCGACGGAGGACTTATCAGAGCAGTGCAGGTGGCAGGCCCGTGCGCTGCTGCTGATAAATGGATCTCAGAACTGGCATTTTGATAGAGCGAGCCCCACAGTGCCAGAGGTTACACACATCTGCTGCTATCCTGTGGCTCTAACCCATTCCAGACACCAGGGGAAAGTTGATACTAATTCTCAATTCCGGGAATACAAAAGGGGACCCGACGCCGTAAAGGGGTTATTATTGCAGATTAAATACTACTGTGTTACATGTAAACAAAGCAGTCTAGTTATCGTACGTAAAGGATATGACACATGGGGATTAAAGACTAAAATCTTTAATCATGAGTTGCACATAGCGTTACGATGAGACGGTGTTAATGGTTTATGCCGTCATAAGACACGTCGTTCACAGTTATCAGTTATTACTGCAGGCGCTACGTGTTTAGAATTGACAGAGTGCAGCTATAGAGACATACAGGGATTTTTTTACTAAGAGCTTGTAAAATGCCCGTTAAAATTTGAGTGAACTGTCCTGGTCTCTGTCCTGGTCCCTGTCCTGGTCTCACCTCAGGTCTCTGTCCTGGTCTCAGCTCTGGTCTTTTTTCTGGTCTCTGTCTTGGTCTCAGCGCTGGTCTCTGTCCTGGTCTCAGCTCTGGTCTCAGCGCTGGTCTCTGTCCTGGTCTCAGCTCTGGTCTCTGTCCTGGTCTCAGCGCTGGTCTCTGTCCTGGTCTCAGCTCTGGTCTCTGTCATGGTCTCAGCTCTGGTCTGTCCTGGTCTCAGCTCTGGTCTCTGTCTTGGTCTCAGCTCTGTTCTCTGTCCTGGTCTAAGCTCTGGTCTCTGTCCTGGTCTCATCTCTGGTCTGTCCTGGTCTCAGCTCTGTTCTCTGTCCTGGTCTAAGCTCTGGTCTCTGTCCTGGTCTCAGCTCTGATCTGTCTGGTCTCAGCTTTGGTCTCTGTCCTGGTCTCAGCTCTGGTCTCTAGTTTCTACAGTCAACTGCCCTAAAGCGTCAGGTTTTTGCCAGTTTGAGTCTGGTGCAACTGTCCGCACCTATTGCCTGTTTGCTATATTCACACATATACATTACATTACACCGGAGCTGGGAAAGTGCCTTTTCTATAATATTTTCTCAATGCAATGATCAATGAGAAGCAGAAACAGACCAGCACACACAGTTTAGCACTGAAAAAATACACACAATTTCCAGTTAGTAAATCCCTTGCAACACACTCACTAAAATAACATTAGTTTATCACCTGCATTAGTCATAAATTACCCCAAAGGGTTGATTTAAAACAACTTTTCACAGACTATATACCAGTCAGAAACATACACATGCTGGAGTTCAGTTGTCATTTGTCATTTGAGATGTATTTGCATTTTTCTTTTTGGGTTTGACATTTACCTACCTATTAGAAACAAGTACCAATATGGCTGCAGGCTATTCTTGGTGATGACATTAAATACTGTAGACGTATAAAGAATCTCTTCATGTTTGTGGTGGATTCTTCTGCCATTCCACTCCACAGTATTTTCACTTACTCCACTTCTTTCTTTCTTTGAACCACCACTCACAATTGCCTTTTTGTCAGGCAAGTCAAAGGACTAGACTTGAGGGCTGGAGGCCATTTTACACCCCGGGAGAGTCCACTGGTCCCAAGCACTCGGAGAACACTGCTGCACATTATAATTTCACTTCCGTTTAGCGTTTCACCCTTTGGTGTAAATTTGGGAAAACTCCTCATGTATTTAAGCTCACCTTAGCTCTTGCTGGGTGGGTTTTGTGTTTTGATTTCCTTGGTTCAGTTAGGTCGGTTACTTTAGTTGACCCCAAATAGAGTTAAATTAGGGGTGATTTCATACCTGTTATCCTTCCCCTATGTTTGGTCCACTCCAGTTGCATAGTTTACGGGACTGACTTGACTTTTACAAACATACTTTATCCTTATTTAGTCCCTACAGATCTCAGTTATGTTTCCCGGCTGACTTCCATCTCTGTTTTTAAAGGTCCATTGTGAAAAATGATAATGGTCGGGAATATTCCAGGGCTGACATGGTACTGTAATTCACTGTAATTCACTGTGATGGCCAGGTTGTAAAAAAACAGCACAGTTCACACATCTGTCTTCTCCAAACCCTGCGCTCACAAGATCACGACTCATTCTCACGCCATTATTACTCAAAGCAACACACAAATACAAATACAGAACAATCTCACACTACGCCATCATCCATGTTTCATTGTAGATTATTAGGTTATGCGATTGAGTATCCATAGACAGTGTTGGATAGAATACTTTGAAAATGTATTCCGTTCCAGAATACTGAATACAGGACCTAACATGTATTGTTGTATCATATTCCGTTACTTTGGACAATGTAGTACTTATAGTCCAAAAAACTTGGAATATATTTAATCTTACTTTTAATTATTATTTTTATATTATTTATATTTATTGTAAATTCATGTTTATTTGCGAAGCTTATAAAGGCCAATTTCAAAACATTTAAAACAAAAACCTCAATAAAAATTTTAATAAATAAAAATAATGTGTTTTTGTAGAATAAGTCCAAGTGCTTCAACAGCTAAAAATCAGGAAAAAAAGAATATTCACTTTAAGAATACGCAATGTTTTCTTTTATTTTTCTGAACCATCAAAACGTGATGTGAAATATGTATGTATGAAGTATGTATTCCCGTGATTATTCAGAAAGTAACTGATTTCTAAATACTAGACATTGAAGTAGTAACTGTAAGGGGAAAACACACAGAAAGAGTACTCTGAATACCTAATGGCGATGTATTCTGTTACTCCCCGACACTGTCCGTAGACGGCGATGGAACAATTGTACAGACAGGAAGTTGCGTAATGTGATTGGATCGGACATCTGGATCTGAGACACGCTGATGAGTCTCTGAGGCACAACAGAGGGCACCAACTCCTCCCCCCGCATGCTTTAAATAGCCACGATAGTATATTATTGGCTACATGTGTGTACTTTAGAGGAATTTCCCGCCTGTGTTAAAAAAAAAAAAAAAAACAGAGATGAAGTTATTGCTTGTAAGGAACGGCTGGAATGCATGCGTTCATCTGAGTTCCATGATAACGGATGGACTCCAAATGTTTTGCGCTTTGCCAAACTTGAATGAATTGTGATGTAAGTATGTATTTTTTTTTCTCCCCGAGTTAAAATAACACAATGATTAACGGATGACGGGTGTATTTCATTATGAAGACATGTCGTTTCTCGGGAAATGTGTTTTTCATCGCGACCAAGATGCAGGTTCAAAGCTTCAAAATAGCGTAATAATCACCTTTTTTGGATTTGGCTCCTATTTTCAGTTTGGACGGCCAGGCGATCTGTGTTTGGGTTTCATCCATGATCTGAAAAAGAGAGGGAATAACTGTTACTTGCAGCAGTGTTCTCCAACCTTTTTGAGCCATGGCACACCATCAGCTGAAACCAGAATGAAACTTTGGGCCCTTTATTAACAACGCAAAGTCATTCTCATCAAAGTCTATTGAACAAGAAAGCACAAAGCAAACAAGTCTGGCTTTCTTCACCAACAATAAGGTGTTTTTGATCATTTATCAAATATATCAAGTCACTCCAAACGATATCTCAAGACACATTAACGCTGCACTGGTTTAAAAACACTATATTATATACTGTACATAATACAAGCAAAACCTTTATTTTATATTTTTTCAAGCATGTTCTTTGTGGAAAAACATGCTTAGTGCACTACTTGAATATAAGAGCATTACCGTCGGCACTAAGTCAAAACAGGGAAAGACAGCAAACATTTTTCCAGGTAAAAGATCAAAGCCTCTGTAAAAGTGAAGCGCAGACTGCTAACCTCTCAGCCCCCGTGCCGCCCTAATTGTAATCACAACATGTGTCATAAAATTGCTTTTGAAAATAATACATATTTCTGACCACATGACCCTGTAGTTATAACTGTTAAGTATTTTGTACAATACATTATATTCAAAACAGTCCCTCCCCAGTAAGATTTTCTGAAGGAGAATAGTTAGAAATTACCTGGGTTCAATCAGAAACCAGTGGGGGCGGGTCTAACTGGCACTAAACGTCTCCCCTTCTTCACCATTTCAAAAGTAACTGACCTTTACTTTAAGTCTGAACATAACACAAAACATAATGTGTGTCTATTTATAACTTCTGCAACGTGCTTTCTGAGCTCCAAAGAACACGTGAGACATTCCTGCATTTTATCATGTCACAATATTACGGGCAAAATGTGCTTTCAATTTGTGCTGACCTTCTGCAGAAACATTCGACTGTGCTCCATGTAACCGCGGTGACGCACGCCATAAATCCACTCACTTCAACGTCGACAATGAAAGAGCCATCAGCAATTATTAACAAAATAATAATCAATGAGGATGAAAAGCGGAGCCATTTGGACGTATTTTAGCACAGATTCAATATTTGCCCATTTTTATGAAAGCTGTTTCCAGACACAAAATCAGCGCTTCTCAACACTTGGGCCTGGAACACTGCACTGATTACAGTTGGCGTATTCATGCGTTTAAATAGCCAACAACAATCTATACGAGAGCGCTCAAACAGCTCCAGTCATCGTCACAACCGCCGCACGCAAAATCAACAGCAGCCGCCGTGAAAGAGCTGTCTGCACTCCCAACACCACGTAATCGGTTCCATAAACTGGTTTTTTGTAAATTTTTTTTGTTGTGTTATTGTTTCTATGTGACTTTTATGGCCGGTAAATGAACAGTTTTCAGTGGCATTTTTCTCGTTCTTTCCTTTCTTACTCTAGAGTCCTGACTAAGCACCTTTTTTCACCACTTTTTTCTTTCTTTTCTTTACTTATCTGTTTTTATGGTTATTTGTGTAAATAGATAGATAGATAGATGTATAAATAGATACTTTATTGATCCCTGTGGGAGAAATTCAGGTGTCCAGTAGCAGCAAAAATAAAAAATACAATTGATCATTCTAAAAATTTAAAAATAGTAATAATAAGCAACAGCCCTTCAGGTCACAGTAGCAGAGGTTGTGTAGCCTCTGGGTGGAGCAGGACGGGTCACAGTAGCAGAGGTGGAGTAACCGCTGGGTGGAGCAGGGCAAGTCACAAGGTGATTTTTATGATTTATTTTGTGTGGATGCCAAGTCTCTCTCTTTTTATCTGCAAAAGACCTACCCATGGGTGCAAGTAACGTCACCTTGAACCTTTGTTGTATTGGCATGTTGGCATATCCATTTGCTTTTCCCTTTTTCTTTTATCTGGTCTGTGGGCTATGTTTTTACAGACGTCCTGAGCATTTCAGTTTGTTTTAACGCTGTCCTGGGGTTTGTGTTTTGAGAGGAGCAGAAATGATTTTCTCAGAGCATCAGCAGTGTGATCAAACATCCACATGGCGGGAACCAATCATTAGTTTAGAGGGCACAAGAGAATTACACATTTCTGGGACAATAAAACAGTTTGAGAGACACGATTGTATGTATTTATTTCACCTACTGTACATTCACTTCAAAAAGTAGAATATGTTTTAAACCTGTGCTAAAATTATCTTAGAGTCTGTAAAACTGTCTGGAAACTATATACGTCATGAAATATATCAGAAGTTGTAGTGGCCGCCCTCCAACCTCTTTTGTCTAAATCAGCAATGGCACCAAAATCCATCTTTTCTGGGGCATTTCTTTATCAATTTATCATTTGTCCTCTTCCTTTTTTATAGCAGTATCATTTTTTGGATTTGAGGTTGAAATAAATCAAAGTAATCATGATGCTGTAATTAACATCCTTGATTAGATCTACGCAACCATAACATTTGGAGAACATTCTCTCTGAGCCAAAGCATAACAGAATGGAAGTCATACGTCATGTGTAAATCATGTTCAAATCAAAAAGGGAAGTGCTAAAGCTCTCCATATGCTGGTCTGGAAGCGTGTGTTTGGCTCTGACAGGCGCTGAGCTGCCAGCCCCACACCTGAGCGGACAGCCCTGTGGTGGTTCTGCTTCAGCACGACTCTGACTCACGCCTGGACGGAGCGGGACATCATAGAGCAGCCATCGCCATCGCACCAGCATCAGTGTGAAGGAGACGGTCCGCTTACATGTCCTGCTCCATAAGAAACACTCTGCACCTGTCAGGACGGGGCAGACTGCACTTCTCTGGAGATTTGCACTGAGTTGGAGTCTGGACACAGCTCCAAAGGTTCTCCATCTGGCTCTGGAGAAGCAGATGGAAGGAGTGGCACCTCTGTCTCATGATCATAAATAAAATAGCAAGTTTCATTCTGACTTATAATTACAGTTTAGTCCATAATATACACATATCCCATTTAATCCTGTTCTCCTGTTTTTTGGTCCAGTAAAGATAGTTATTAGAGAGATGTGTAGTGTCAGAGAGTGTTTGGGCCTGTGTTTTATCTGAGTAAGTGTGTGTGTGAAACCTTACTATACTAAAGTACTACGTTATACTACATTAAGACATAGTATAATAGATATATAGATATATAGATAGATAGATAGATGGATAATATTTATTTCAAAACCTGCACAAACATCATTGTTGCAAAAATCAACATAACAGACAGATATACAGGTGCATGGTTGGAAAAGGAGGTGGATGAAGACAAACGCTTATAGAATTCCAACCCCCTCACACATTCAACACAAAGTACAGAACAAGAACAGTATACATACATGATCATTCAAAAACAGCTGTAAACTTGTACAGTACATAGAGTGAAACAATATATGACATGACCAAAGAGACAAGACAACGCACACACACACACACACACACACGCACACGCACAACACACCACAGACACAGGCCCAAACACTCTCTGACCCTACACCCTCTCCCCTTTGCTTCATGCTGAGGGCATCACTCCTTCCTCTATATATTTCTTTAATCATTTTTTTTTCCAACACTGTTTGAAATGAATTATGCTTGGGCAGTTTTTTAATTCATCCGACACGTTATTCCAAAGTTTCACTCCCCGCACTGAGATACACATTGACTTTAGAGTGGTTCTAAATTTAGGTAGATATCTAATTTTGTTTCCTCTAAGTTTGTAACTATGATGATTGTGTCTATCCTGGAATAAGTTTTGAACATTAGGAGGCAGAGAGTTTTGAGATGCCCTGAACATAGTTTGAGCAGTTGTTATGTATAGCAAAATAATCTAATGCAAAAGAACAAATCCTTAATCCTCATTCAAGAGAAGAATGCTTTCTCAACACATTGTTCCAATAAACCATTGAAAGTGTCTTATCTCATTAAAAAGAACACCTTCCAGTAATGTTAACACAATCTACAAGTCTCGGGAAGTTTGAGCGGTGAATCACACATCGTAGGTATTTTGGAAATGTCTTTATCAAAGTAAAAACAGTGATAGAGAAATGAAGACTTCCGAGGTTGGCATTCTGCGGTCATCATCAATTACAGACGAGTGCTGCCTCATTACTCCACACTGTGAACGCCTGCAACCAACTTAGATGAGCTGGTTTTATGTGAACCCAGCGGCTGATGTAACAAAAACAGACCATTACTTTGCGCCTGAGGCTGGGGACGCTCCATCACTTTATCACAGGCACAAAAACACCAGCCGCAGTGGTCCGTTGTACAGTAGTTTCAGAGGTCTTTGCAGTCCAGAACATGTGCTGCCCCACACAGAGGATCTATCAAGATAAATGTTTTAGAAGCACTGGTTTGATGCTGTTTTATGCCACTACATGCAAATCTGGGCATAATGAAGGATTATAAAAGAGAACACAGAAAGAATGGTAAAAAAAAAAAAGCGTGTTGAAGGAGCAGCCAGGCCCTTCTACATCTTAATAAATATGGGTTTGGGTTGGGGTTCTCAGTTCTCCGCCATATTAAAGGTCCGTCCAATCGTAAATCACGGCACTTACTTTGCACAAATATCCAAGTGGTGGCTACGACAGGGTGTGATTGAGTATTGTTTCAGTTGTATTATATTGTATTGTATTGTTTTTAAGTTATATTGTAACTTGCGGCTGCATGGACGGTGAGGCCTGACTCACTGTGAATTTGTGTAGAGTCTGTGGGTTCTGCTCTGATTATGTTGCAAATGAATTGCCCTCTGGGATCAATAACGTTTTCTGTATATTTATCCATTAAGAGATCAATAAAGTTTTCTCTTATGAAGAAAAGAGAAAAATCCGTGATACTCTTGACAAGTTTTATCTTATCTTTATGAGTAAATTAACTCTACTTAAAATAGATGAACCCTTCTGTTCAGTGTTTACATAAGTCTTGTTTTTCTGCTACTTAGTTTTCTCAGATCGGTCGTTTAAACGCACAATCAAATGTGACACAAACACGGCTTTGTGAGCATGTTAGCATCTAGAGCCAAAACATGG